TTTGCAGTCATACCAAAGATTTTTATATAGCTCCAATTCATCACAAAAGTGGTCATCAAGAATACTCAGTTTGTAGCCCATATTTATCAGTTTTTGATTATAGACAAAAGTCTTGAAGAGGTCCTTTTCAACTCTAGTTCTTCTATCTTTGTCCTGTTTAATACTGATTTTATCAAGTTGATTCTTCTCAGTAAACTTTAAATACTATTCTTTGTCCTTTTTAACTCCTATTCCAATTCAATTACAGTGTTCAAGATTATATGTTCTACTGGTATATCCCTTTTTAGCAAGTTTTGAATAGTGAGTATATGCTTGATATTTATTCTTTTCAATACCATTTTCCTTCAGGGGTTTATAGACAATTTCTTTTATTTTTGTTAGAGCCTATTTCTGTATAATGATATTATATCTATTAGCCAACTTTTGAAAGAAAGGCTCTAGACTAATTTTTTCTTCTTTAAAACCAAGTTTCGTATTTTTCATTATGATAGGTCTTTTTTAGCAAGGTTTTACAGAAAGGACTTTTGGGGCAGCAAACATAGGGGTGCTAGAGATGGACTTATTCTTCTTTTAGTTAGGACTAATTAGATGTACAGAGGCAAGTATACGATTTTTTTTTTTCTTTTTTGTCCTCATTACCTGGAGTACTATTCGAATTAACATGCTCTAATACTTCTAAAAATAATTCTAGGGCTTGTAGATCATAAAAGCTATAGTTGCTGATGGTTTTTTTGATTATTTCTTGAACTTCTGCAGTTTGTTCTTTAGTAAGTATAGCAAGCAACTCTATACATTTCAACTGTATTCTTCTTATCTTTGGGTATGTACTAATGGGATATTCTGTTATGCTATAATAGAAGTATCATATCACTTGTTGATAGTTTCTTTAGCTCTGTTTATCATTTGAAAGGTTCCTTGAAATTTGATGATGTTAGGTCACTATTATTTGGGCTTCATATGGTTGTTGGCTCAGATTAAATATGGCTAGTTGGTATATTTTATATATATATATATTTTTTTTTTAAAAAAAAACTTGGTGACACTTGAGGCTCAGAAATAAGACACTATACAATGATGTATAATAAATAAAAAAAAAAAAAAAAATTGGCAGACTTGGTTCATTGGTCCTTACAAAAACTCTAGTATACTAAAAACTCAAATCAAAAAAAAAAAAATCAAAAAAAAACTTCAGAGGTGGTCATCATAATACTTAATTTGTTTCTCACAGTTGGATCATTGAATTACAGTCTAGCTGCTTGGAGATTTACGATCTTATAGTCTTTTTGTGTTCAATCTTATAGTTCAGCTACTTGGGCTCTCCAACAAGTGCTCAATCTTACAGTCTTGGGTTTCAGAACAGAAATATTCTATCTTACAGTCATCACCAAAAATATTAGCAAGTAAGTGGTTAACACATACACATGCCCACAAACAAAAGAAATAATGGTCGATTGCTTGTTAACAGGAAAAATATCAAATAATGATACTTAATAGAAGGTAAGACAGATATTGATTTGGTACAGGTCTAAGACGTCTACTAAGTATTATTATACAGGTGATTCGATATGGTTTTTAATAAACATTTGATTTGGTTTTACTTGAGGGCTTTTATTAAGAACTTTATTATATATAGGACAGATAGTATATACTGAATGCTTTGTGAAGTACTAATTATTACTTGGACAAGAAGGATTTGACCTCTTATTTATAATAAAAATTACAGGCAAGAAAAAGATTAAGATTGAACATTTTTCCATCTCTAATCAATGAACCGTCATTGACTCAAGCCATTTGACCTTTTTCTGGTCTAATTTCCAAATTCTACTTATAGCCATTTTCATTAAAGTTTCAACAGAATCGAAAGAGAAGACAAAAAGAAGGCAAGTTCAATGAAGGCTTCTACGCTGTCATCGTTCTATACTCATCAATTCGCTTATTCATTCATTGACTCATCTATCGATTCATATGCTTTTCATCTTTCATAGCCACATACTTACCCAACAAGATAATATTACCTTGACAGCTATTAACCAATTCAGGTAAGTATTTCTTTCTTCAATGGGATCGTTGATGGAGGCTTGGCTTTCATAGGATTGTCATTTGATGCTTCCATACAGAGGACCTGGTTCAAACAGGTTTACTTGCATATGATCATCAAGTGGAAATCATAGGTCCCAGGGCATCACAGTGTAATGGCTCTTTGTGTAATGATTTGTATATCTCACTAGCATCATTCTGCATGATTCTTGGATTCTAAGAGAATGTGATTTTGCCAATAACACTATTAACATTTGTGATCAGATTAATATCTGTAATAAGGGCCCAATGATGAATAAATCCATCAATATCTGAACCCGCATGAGTATTTTAGTACCATCAGTTTTATATGATTTCGGATGACTTATTTTTTAAATTTGGCTTAGGTAATGACTGCAGTTAAAGATATAGCCTCACTTTTAGAATTGAATGCTTTAGTATGCATAATTGTCAGATTTTTATATAGGTTTGGTTTATAATATTAAGCTAATGTTACATAAATGTTGCAGAACGTGGATATAGAATCTTGGATCGATGATGCAGAAAACAATGTAAATTTGTTAAAGAGAAATGTAGCTCATGTATGTTTATTTTTTCTTATAATACTATATTGTTTTTTCTTATTTTACTAACAAAAGTTTTAGGCCATAGCAAACGCAAATACGGAGGACGAGAAACTTCTATAACAAAGAGTGGAGAATGATTTAAAGAATATTGATTTGAATAAACTGCTATATAATCACCCACTTTGCTTTGGTATATTAGATATCGAGTCATCATCTATCTCTGATTTACCGGAAACTCTTCATAATGTTTTTGAAAAAATATCAAACTAAAATTTTGTATAGATAACAATGAAATGTTATTGCAAACTTGCGAAGAGTATATTCAAGAGGTAAGTATTAGAGTAGAGGAACTACTATTAGAAACTTGTGATTCTCTATTCAGCCAATGGATAGAGAATTCTAAAAAGTTAAAAAATATAATGAAATAATTATTGGAAGCATTGTAAGTTTATTAATGACTGTATTACTTGGCTGGAAATATAATAAAAATAATATAATTTTTAGATATCAGGTTTGGATTTTGCCAAAATATAAGTCGTATGTTTTAAACCAGATGGCTATAAATGAGGGATCATATGTTTGCGAAGTTTTAGCACCATTATTTAGTATTGTCTTGGTGATTTATTAGTAAAAGATGAGACATGGAAGATATGGTAAGTAAATCAGTTTTTATTTCAGATGATATTAAAAGGCACCAACTTTATTTCTTAAAAATTAGGGGCGATATGGCAAGTTGGTCTGATGCTATACAAAAAGGTGATTCATATATCACATGTAGACCAGATCTTATGTTTATTGTATATTTAAATGGTCAAAGAATTGATCTTTTAAATATGGAGACTGGTTGCCCCAATTCTTCTAAATGAAAACAGGAACAAGATCATTTAAAATTAGCATGACTTGCAAAAAATTCGATGGATTTTGCAAGAACCCATCTTAAACAATATATTAAAAAGGGAATATTGAGTAATTTGTTATCAATATTTTCTATCAATGTCGCTAGTATGTTGGAGCAAAAAAAAATGGCCACTTATTAGTCAAATCTAACAAGTAATATTTTTTAGAGAATGATTTAAGAATTTATAATATATGTATAGAATATGAAATTCTTAAAAATTGCCTACTAACCCGAGCGACTATACCATTATACACAGTATCAGCTGATACTGTTTATCCACTTATTCATTCGTTGCTTACTTTAAGGATATTAAAAATTTTTTTCTAATAAAATTATAAAATTTTAGAAACTCATTATCGTTCTTTTTTCATATAATAGACAGCTATTATATGTACACTCCCTGCTAGTGATTACCGGAATTTTGATTTTCACATTACCTAATAATAATTGTAGCCACATACATATGTAATTTATTTTTTTAATAAGAAAAATAAACTTGGCATAGTAAGTGAAGTTGTTCAGAATAACGATTTGCATATATTTTAAGATTTTTAGAAATTTTAAAAATTTTATTAAGTCGTATTTAGCATTTTTCATCAAAAAAATAAAAAATAAAAAAATTGTTATTAACTTGACACATTTTTAAACCCTATTATAAATAATAGTTGGTTTTAAAATATATTATTCTCTGTATCCAAAAGTATATAGGATTAAATTTTCATAGAGCAATTCAAAAAACTTCTTATAAAACATCAAGTTTAATTAAGACATTTGACAAATAAAAAAATTGCAATTTTTGTGTTTTAAAGTTCATTATAATAGAATATTATAAAATTTTTATTAAAAATCTTTCAAAATAAAATATCTAAGTATATATTATTTAATTCATATTTGATTAACTTTTTAAAGCTATTCTAATACAAAGTTTATAATATTCTATTATAACGAACTTTAAGACACAAAAATTGCAGTTTTTTTATTTGTCAAATGTCTTAATTAAACTTGATATTTTATGAGAAGTTTTTTGAATTGCTCTATGAAATTTAATCCTATATACTTTTGGATACAAAGAATAATATATTTTAAACCAACTATTATTTATAATAGGGTTTAAAAATGCGTTGAGTTAATAACAATTTTTTTATTTTTCATTTTTTTGATGAAAAATGCTAAATATAACTTAATAAAATTTTATTTAAAATTTCTAAAATCTTAGAATATATGCAAATCATTATTCTAAACAACTTCACTTACTACTCCAAGTTTACTTTCTTTATTAAAAAAATAAGTTACATATGTGGCTATGATCATCATTAGGTAATGTAAAAATCAAAATTCTGGTGATCACTGGCAGGGAGTGTACATTACAAAAGTTTTCTGTTTATCTTAAAAACAAGTCAGAAAATAGCAATAATTCTGATGAAGAAATGGCTAAAACAATCAATCCTCCCAAAAGGCGCAAAACTAACCTAAAACTAAAATTAAAAAAAGTTCAAATTTCAAGAATGTATCTATATCTTGATTTTTATCTGTATTTGTTTTTATTTTTATATTTTTTTATATAATAAAGCAGTCAAATTTCGTATACATAATCATGTTTACTTTTGTGTGCATATTTTGATAAATTCTAATATTTTTTTGTCAATTTATACAATTGCATTAAAATAAAAGATGGCGAGATCACCAGACCTCTTCTTTATTTTATAAAAATATTGTTAGAATAACAATATACAAATAAAAAAAAATACATCACAGTTGTATATTGCAGACAAAAATATGAACTATTTATTAATTTTGATTTAGCCTTTCTTGTCATTGTCCAGAATTCTTATACTTATTGAAATTATTTTCCTCACACTATTCTGAATTTTCTTCTGAAAAATTGTCCAAGAGTCTGTCTTCATCAATGTTATAGTTATTATCTTCTAAAGAGTTATAGGTCAAATTATCTAATTTAAATAAAATATTACTATATAAATAATCATTCATATGCTTTATTTTTTCTGACTTCAAATATATGTGAAAAGGTAGGGTTTTATATACTATAGCCATCTTTCTTATTATTGGTCTTGGAGGCATTATTTTTGCTAGTCTTGAAGGTATTATTTTTGCTAGTCTTGAAGATATTACTTTTGCTGATCTTGGAGGTATTATTTTTGCTGATCTTGAAGGTGTTACTTTTGCTAATCCTGGAGGCATTGGGTTTATTAGTCTTGGGAGTGATGCTATCATTAGTCTAAAAACAAAAAAAAATATTGTAAGAAAAATTTATTTTTATAGACCATAATAAACAGTAAATATATTACTTAAAAAAAATATATGGGCAAGTGAATCAGGTAAAAAATATATGAGCAAAAAATAACATTATTGCTAACTTATCTTAAGGTAGAAACTTGCTTCTTTTTATATTGTCTATTCATTAGATCTAAAAACCTACCAAAAAAAAGTTACACAATTAGTAATTATATTATCCTAACACAATCTAGATTCCACTATGTAAAGCAAGTCTATTTGGTTATAAGTCCCAAATGCTAAATCTATTTTGCTAATTACTCAGAGTAGGCTAGATCTCGGAGATGACAGAGATTTAAAATTCTTGTAATATATGAATTTTGATAAAACTACTGATTAAAAACATTGTACTCTTCTCTCTTATAGCTTTTTTAAACCTATTCGTATCTTTTCTTATCATAAGATTGTGTACAATAAAGCTTCTAGTTGTTATTCATTTAGTTAGCTGTTAACAAAAATCAACTGTAAGAAATGATTCTGCAGGAGAGTAACTCCATATAAAATTTAATGCAGGCTGCTAATTATTAAAGCCAGTCAAGTTTTTATCACCTATTGTTATTATAAAAATATTAAACTTAGTTTATACACTGACGGTCTCTGGAAGCTATTGGGAATATAAAATTTATCATTAGGAACGTGACAAAAATCATATGATTTTTTAGAGTGAAGAGAAGTAAAAACAATTAAAATTATATATAAGAACCTGATTTTTTTTTATATTAAGAGGAGGAAGGGGGTAAGCCTTTAATAAAAAATAATCAGATGATAAATAATACTGCCCTTATGCGATAAGAATTTGTAAATTATATATGCGGACCCATGAAACTGTTAAATTATATGATAGTATGATAGAATAAATTCAAAATGATCTAATAGTTATGAAATTAAATTATTTCTATATAGTTGTGTTAAAATAGTGCATATGTATGTTTACTAAAATTTTATGAATACATATTAATAGATTCTAAATAATTGCTGTTAAACCACTGTCTCTTGAAAAGAAAATGCTCTGTATCTAAAGTGCTGTTAGGTTTTCATAATAAACAAATATAAAATTATCTAAACCACTATTGAAGTACTGTTGACTGGTTGTTTAGAATAGGTAAAACCTTCATTAATCATATCATTATAAATTAAATAAAAAGCTTAGTCTTTGTTTCTAACTTCAGATTAGCAAAAGGTAGTTCAATATAAATAAAATATTTATAGCTTATCTCGTATTATGTTAATTGATTTTTATAACCTTTATTTTTAATTATTGTATGTGTTGTTGTAGAAAAATAGTACATATATATATTTATAAATAAAACTAAATACAGTAAGCTCCTAATATAAAATAATTTTTATACAAGTAATCATACCCATATAATATCGATATAAAATCTTTTTAGAGCAATTTTTTGATAAGTATGCATAGTCATACAAAAAATTTTATTTTTAATATTGAGCAATAAGGCCTCTAACTATATATATTATATTTTAGAAGAATAATATAGTACAGAGATTCACATTAAATAGCTTAGAGTTTGCATATTTTCTTTCTTAAAAGCATGTTATATATTTTTTCTATTTATTTTTTTTTCTATACTTATAAAAATACTATTATAGAGAGTATGATTATTAACTATTATTGTCTATATAGTAAGAAGAGAAAGACTAAACAAGCTTCTTGTGGTTTATAGTTCACTGAACTACAAGATAAGAAATAGTTTAAATGTATCTTACCTCAAAACTTAGATAAATACATAATATTTTTCTTTATTCTGTGTGTGATTATTATTCTTAATGTAGAGTATATATTAGGAGAAAGGTGATGCAGACTTCCTAAACAACTGAACTACATTACAGAGAGTGATTGAATATATCTATCAAAAAAAATTTATACCTGGAAGACTTGTTTTATAACTTCTCAAGTTGCCTCTATGGGCCT